GTGGTAGCAAAACAGAAAGATTCTCCTTAAATCTTTTTTTTTAAATGGTAGATGAAATAAACTTAAAAGATACATGGAGAGAAAGAAATGCTAAAACTAAACAATACACCTTCTACTCAAATAGACACTTATCATGGTCCAGAATAGATATGATATGGATGTCAACAGAATTGTTAACTAATATTCAAGAAATAAATATTGAAACAAGTACTTGTGCAGATCACAATCCAATGACAATTAAATGGAAAGGACAAAAAAGAAGATCTAGATGGACGTTAAATAATACTATTTGAAAGGAAAAAGACTTCACACAGTGGATGGAGAAAGAATTGCCTTTTTTCTTTAGAGAAAACAAAAAAGAAGATACATCAATTCAGAATGTATGGGATACAATGAAGGCATATGTTAGAGGCTTGATAATAGACTATACAAGGAAAAGGAATACTATGAAAAGGCTAGCCTCTAAGGCCCTAGAGGATGAGCATAAAAGACTTGAAAAAGAGCTACAGAAAATGCCACAGAAAAAGGACATCGTTAAAAATGGATATAATTAAACACAAAATGGGTCAAATAGAAAAAGAAGAATTAGCACAGAAAATTAGAGGTGCTAAACAGAACTACTTTGAAGACGCAAACAAACGAGGTAGATGGTTGGCATACAAATTGAGAAAGGAGAAAGAATCAAGGAAAATATTGCAATTAATAGATGACCAAGGCCAAGTTTGCCATGGTAGTAAAGAGAAGAAGGAAATCATTCGAGACTTCTATGGGAAATTATATATGCAAGAGAATATTGATGAGGAAAGAGTTAAGCAGTACTTACAGAATGCTAATTTACCTCAGATACCTAAGGAGACTGAAAAAATGTTAGAAAGCAATATAACGATGATGGAGTTAACTGAAGCACTCAAGAAGCAAAATAATGGAAAGGCACCAGGCCCAGATGGACTTCCGGCTGAATTTTATAAAACATTACAAGAATCGTTGAATCTTCCATTGCTAGAAGTTATGAATGAAGTTATGTTAAAGAAGAAGATACCTAAATCATGGTCAGAAGCCTATATTACACTTATTCCAAAAGAGGAGGCCGACCCATTACAAATTAAGAACTATAGACCTATTTCTCTACTAAATGCAGATTATAAAATCTTTGCTTCAATATTGGCAGAAAGACTTAAAAATATTTAAATAATTTTATCCATCCTGATCAAAATGGATTTCTGCCAAAGAGACAAATTAAAGACAATATGAGAGTAATCTTGGACACCTTGGAATACTACGAGGCACATCCTGAAAAACAAATGGCTCTGATATTTCTAGATGCACAGAAGGCATTTATTTGATAATGTGAATTGGCGATTCATGTTATTATTGTTGGAACAGATGGGTTTTGCTAGAAAATTTATTCAAGCAATAGAAGCTATATACTATAAGCAAACGGCAAAGGTAATGATAGAGGGAGAACTGACAGACTCTATCAATATAAGAAAAGGAACAAGACAAGGGTGCCCACTATCACCTTTGTTGTTTGTGTTAACTTTGGAAGTGCTAAACAGAAATATTAGAGATGAAAAGAATATAAAAGGAATGAAAATCAAAAAGGAAGAATTTAAACTGCAAGCATTTGCAGATGATCTGGTTTTCATCTTAGAAGACCCTTTAGAAACAGCATCAAAATTGATAGAAAAGATAGAGACATATGGAAAGGTGGCTGGTTTGAAAATAAATAAAGATAAGACAAAGATCTTGACAAAGAATATGCTATTAAGACAAAAGGACCTATTGAAAATTCAGGTCACGAATAAGATTAAGTACCTGGGGATATATTTGACAGCAAGATGTAGTACATTAAAAGAGAATAATTATATCAAACTTAAACAGCAGATAGCGCTAGATTTGGCGAAATGGGAAAACTTAAAACTGTCACTAATAGGGAGAATTTCAACAACCAAGATGAATATATTACCCAGAATTTTATATTTGTTTCAAACAATTCCAATTAGGCTTGGAAAAGACTACTTTGAAGATTTAAATAAAATTGTGTTGAAATATATATGGCAAGGTAAGAAAGCGAGAATAAAGTTAAAACTTTTGCAAGATGTTAGAATTAGAGGAGGATTTGGTTTGCCTAATTGGGAGTTGTACTACCAAGCTACAAATCTGATGTGGGTTAAGGAATGGATAACACTAAGAAATACTAGATTGTTGACATTAGAAGGACATGATTTGTTGTTGGGGTGGCATGCTTTTTTATGGTATAAAGGAACTAAAACACAGGGCTATTTTAGAAGACATTATATACGGGAGTCTCTGTGGCTAAACTGGGAGAAGATTAAAAGACAATGTTATTTGAAAATTCCAGTCTGGTTATCGACTATTGAAGCATTTTCTTATCCTATAATATACAAAAAGGAACAAACAGATATGGTGAAATATTGAATGAAAAGGGTGAACTTAAATCTATGCAAAAACTAGAGGAACAAGGTATAAAGATGAATTGGTTTTCATATGCGCAAATACATTCAAGGTATGATAAAGATTCTAAAACAGAAGGTTTCTATGATAAACTGACTGACTTAGATAAGATTTTGACAGGTACTGATGAAAAGGTGATTAAAAAATTGTAGGGATATTTATTGGAAATTAAACTAGAAGAAGAACAAGTTAAAGAAACTATGATTGCTTGGGAGAAGAATTCTGGATATGGGATTGATTTAGAGAAATGGCAAAAATTGTCTCAAAATTATAAAATGACAATGTCAACAGCATATAAAGAAAATTTGTATAAGATGTTTTACAGGTGGCATTTCCCCCCGACAAGAATAGCAAGAATGTTCAAGAATAAATCCGAAAAATGTTGGAAATGTCATCAGACACCTGGCTCATATTACCATATGTGGTGGACTTGTGCGGATGCTAAAAAATACTGGGAATTTTACCTGAAATATATAGTAAAGACTTGAAATACCTGATTGTAAATGTATTAACAGCGGCTAGGATTGTATTTGCTAAAAACTGGAAAAAATGAGAAAATACCATCACAGGAGGAAATCATTAAGAAAATATTGGAATGTGCTGAAATGAGTAGATTGACATTTGAAATTAGAGAACAAGAGGATAAACAATTTTATAAAATTTGGGATCTTTTCTATCAATGGTTAGACAATAAAAAACAGTAATGAAATACGTAGACTTTTAGAAAATAATAAATATATAAAGATGTACTTTTTTCTTATATTTACAAAATGATTTTAGGATAGATTTGGGACGATAATATGAACTGTTATAAAATAAACTAAGTAAATTATGATTATCCTGTAAAACATGAATGAATAAAACTGTAGTCAAATGATTGATTAATAATGATACTAAGGTGTTTAATTTTTGATTGACAATATGAGATCATATGCAATGTAATTGTAATTGAAGACTATGAAATGGAAGCACAAAACAATTTGTAAACCAACCGGCACACTGTATGTACACATATGGAAGATAGTTTGATGTTTTTATGTTTTGTTTGTTTATGTTTGTTTTTAAAAACCAATAAAATTAAAAAAAAAAAAAGGATTCAAGCAGGATGGAGAACAGTCCATCTTAGTTCTGGTGTTTTCAGTTTTTGAGACTTGGCCTCCTTCAGCGCAGTTTTATTGTCCTGAACACAATAGTTGTTGCTTTACCAAAAGGCAAAAAGGCCTTTGTTTTTTTTAAATTTAATCTGGCATTTGTTTGAAGGCTGAGTAAGTTGAAAGGCCGATGCAACCAACAGGATTGATTCCGTTGGTCTCTGTCTTATTGTTTTTTTGGTTTTTTTTTGCAATAGTATTTTTATTTTTTGTTACAACAAAAATCAATGTGTGAACAGTGTGGTTCCGTAGTGTCTTACATTTTGATAAAAATATGACTATTCCTCTTATTCAATATAGTTTATAATTTTTCAAATTTGATATTAATACATATAATAATTAAATTATCAATCTTAATTATTCAATATTATAGTATATTATTTTGGTTGGTCTCTATCTTATTCTTGAAGAATTCAGAAAAAGAATCCAGCTCCAATTTGAAACTGGCTCACGTTTTGAAGAGTTGTTAGAAAACCTTCTGTTTAATCATTGGGTGCTAACTTCTTAGAGGCTTTTCTTTGGCATATGCAGTACGGCTGTTCCACTTCCGTTTTTACTAATTACAGTTATCAATCATTCATCATTTGAGACTCTTATATTGAAATAGCTTTTTGCTCTTTCAATTGATTGAATAGCAAAATTAGACTCTCATGGCTTGTTCTTTCATTGTGTTTCAGTAAGAACAGAGGAAGATACATGAAATTAAAACAAATATTGTTTTAATAATTTGGAGGAATAACACAGATTGCTTAATACACATACCCCTTTCATGTGCTGCCCGCTTGCATGCTTAGTTTGCAGTTTAAATTTTGCTCTTGTTTCAAGGTTCTAAAGATACAAAGAATTTTATGTGACTTGAAAGTAATATGCTTATTTAGTATCCTATGCCTATCATTGAGTGTTGTACCTTATGATTTATAATTATCGTATTTTATGATTATGATCATGATTTATCACTTGTTTGTATGTACAGTTGAGAGCTTATGCACTGGAGACAAATTCCTTGTGTGTCCAATCACACTTGGCCAATAAAGAATTCTATGTTATTCTAGAAATGTTCAGTTCTCTCCACCAGATGAGAGCACAACGATTTGTTTGATTTACCTCTCCAATATATTATCTGAATTAGCTACAGTCACTTGAGGAAAAGAGGTAAAATAAAAACGGGGAAGAAAACCCTTCAAAATTTGCAGACTATGAAATAGTTATGGACTATAATAAACAGTTACCCTAAAAATTGGAGGTGCATAACTTCAGTCAGTCCATTTAATCCAAGCAAAGAGAAATTCAATCTACGAAGCATTTGTCTCCAAGTAGATCACATTTTAAGCTATATGCAGTTATGAAATATTTTGAGCCTCTCCATTCTTTCAGTGTCTGATCTGCAAGAAGAAGGTAAAAATGCTATCAATGCTCCGATGTCCCCTGCTACAACTGATCTTCATCCAGAAGATACATTACTAGGTATGTATGAATGCAACATCATAGACTTATGATGTGAACAACTACAGCTTTCTTTGGATTTAGATTAAGTACCTTCTGAGCCTTACCCTGCCTGGGTAAGTCTAATCCAGTATTTAATCCTGGGTAAAAATGCAGACTAGTGTCTAATATGGAAGTATGGCTAGAGAAATAGGAAGGTTTGTTTTTTTTCATTCTCCCTTTGCTTCCTCTCTCCGTTGCCTTTGGAAAACTCCTGTTTTGAGGGTAACAAGAGTCAAGTCTTCTGCAAGCAACCCGGTGTCACATATCACGTGATCTGAAAGCCCAGTTCACCCACAGTGTCTTCTTCATGCTATTGTTGTCCCCAATTTGGGTCCCTGAGCCTGGTGCCAAAGATCATGATAGATTCCAGACACGAGGTGCAGGTTTTCTGATGGCTTTTTATTGGAGTACTCCAAGGAAAAGGGCTCCTGGACAAAATGCCAAGAACCAAGAACCAAGGATTAAGTAAACTTTATACATTTTCACTAAAGGAAAAGACGGGACAAGGCAAAATAATAAGAAATATAATCTAATAAACATTTTAGTAATAATTCTACAATTTGTTCTATTGGTCTCTAGCTGTCCTTATTCCCAAGTCTTAGCTAATGAATGCCCTAGGAGTTATCTAATACACATTTGATTTTGCTGCAGGCCATCTCTATCCCTAACTGTTAGCTGAGATCTGCAAGTTGGCTAACCCGTGTTACTTTTATCAGCTTTCCAATTAGCCAGGATTGTTACAAGATTTAAACATGCCTATTTCCTGTGGATAAGCATTCTTTGTTCTTGCCAGACAAGACTCCACAATGACAGGCTTCCTGATTTACTTTGAAGCGTGTGCCATGATCTGGCTTTATTTTAGCAGATGGCCCATCACTATGAGGCAACCAACACCATGTAACCCTTTGGGCAGTGCCTTTTTCAATCAGTGAGAATAGAGATAGATGGAACCTTAGATGTCTTCTAATCCAATCCCCTGCTCAAGCAGTAGACCCTATACCCGTGATGGCAAACCTATGCCACGCGTGCCGGAAGTGGCATGCAGAGCCATCTCTCCGGGCACACCAGATGTCGCTCAGGTTCCGGGGTGTGCATGCGCGCTGGCCAGTTGGTCTTTGGGAGCGCTGGAAATTGTAAGAGCAGTTCCCTAGCATGCGTGCTAGTCACCTGGTCTTCCAGGGTTTCTAACGCACATGAGAACACGAAGACCAGGTGGCCGGTGCGCATGTGCGTGCCGGGAGCTGCTCTTCTGGTTTCTGGTGTGTGCGTGTGCACGCATTTCAGTACTTGGTGCCTTTTTTGGTGCACGCACGCTCCCATTTTTGGCACTTGGTGACAAAAAGGTTCACCACCACTGCCCTATACCATTTCAGACAAGTAGCTGTCCAGTTTTTTCGAAAAAACCTCCAGTGATGGAGCACCTACTGTTGTGAACTAAAGAAATGTAATTAATAAAGATTCATTTGCATTGCAGGATCGTAATCCTGCACTTCCTATTGGCCCATATAATGGCAAGTTCTGATTGGTTAATTCCGAGCAATCTGACTGGCTGTTGGCAGGCCGAGTCCCATTGGACGAGGTTCAAACCCTATAACAACATCCATTGGTCATCCGGATAGCAGTTCACTCTATAAAAGGGCGGCCGCTATCCGGGTTTTTTTTTGTCTCTGTTATGCTTGTGAATAAAGAGCTGAAGTTCAAGGTTGACAGTCTGGTCTCCGTTCATTAAACCCATGCCTCAAACTTAACACCTACAACTTCTGAAAGCAAGCTATTCCACTAATTAATTGGTCTCACTGTTCTCTCCTTGATTAGTTTCCCATCCATTGTTTCTCATTTTGCCTTCTGGTGCTTTGGAAAATAAGTGGACTCCTCTCTTCTTTGTGGCAGCCCCTCAAATACTGGAATACTGCTATCATGTCACCTCTGGTCCTTCTTTTCTCTAAACTAGCCATACCCAATTTACTGGCAGATAATTAGATGTCTTCTTCTGGTTTATCAAATGACTACTTTTTGCCATTTATAAATCAGATGGCAGCTGATGTCTTTTAATAGCAATTTCTGAAACAATGTGCCTGTGTTTGTGACACGATGGCTTTAATGAGGGGCTTCTTTTTGAAATTGCCAGAGGAAAATGAAGAACGTACCATGATAGATCCCACTTCAAAGGAGGATGCCAAGTTTAAAGAACTTATCAAGGTGAGTAACATTATATAATATCAATAATATCTTATCTTTATCTTATTATCTTATCTGGACTGCTCTGTACATTTCTTGATAAGATTCCTTTTGTGCAGAAGCATCACTCAAATAATTGTATGTATGTATGTATGTATGTGGCTGTCTATCTGTCTGTCTGTCTGTCTGTCCTATCTATCTATCATTTTCCATATCCATCCATCCATCCATCCATCCATCCATCATCTTCCATATCCATCATCTTCCATCCGTCCATCCATCCATCCATCATCTTCCATATCCACCCATCCATCATCTTCCATATCTACCTACCTACCTACCTACCTTCCATATCCATCATTTTCCATATCTGTCTGTCTGTCTGTCTGTCTGTCTGTCTGTCTGTCTGTCTGTCTGTCTGTCTGTCTGTCTGTCTGTCT